ATTCCGAGGCGCCCTCCCGCCCCCGCCTCCTTCCGAGTCCCGCCGCCGCCACCTCAAACACAACAAACAGAGCAAAGGCAGGATACATGACGTCACTGTTCACGGCCGAACGTAAACAGCGGCACAGATTATCGCCGCTTATTCGCGCCAAGGGATCGCCGTTCGAGGTCTGCGACAGACTATTTCACAAAGGAAGTCGGTGGCGGCTGAAGGTCGGAGCTGGGTAAGCCCGCGCACTCCAGTTTTTGCCAGGGTTTGCATGGCGATGATTTTTTTCATTCTTGTTTTTACAAGCCAACGATACTCGCTGCAAGATACAGTAACTAAAACCATGCGTATGGATTGCCTTGAGTAACCACACACCTCGCAACATTACGCAATTGCATTCCCTCTCCTCCCTCAGCCCCACCTTCGTGCGAGCGAGAGCAGCACGAGGACGCCGCAGTCCCCGCACAGTCAGTTTACAAACATGCCAGCGATGGCGGCTACAGCCTCAGCCAGTCGACAGAAACGAGAGGCTCAGGCGCACACACTCACACTCTCACTTCCTATTACCAACTGAATTAGAGCTACAAGGTCGTCCACGGTCATCTCGGAGCGCGGGTGAGGCAATACCCGCCCGCGCGCAAGGAACTCTGGCCTCTACGCCATCGCGCCGTAAGAGCTATTGTTCAGTGGAGGTGAAGATGGGTCTCGTTAGGTGAATCTGTATCTTAAGGAAGCTGGCGAGATTCTTCCTGGATGGGCATGTGCGATGATGCTTTTTGTCTCCTTTTTATTTTACTGGTCGTAAAGTCTTCTTTGATGGGATAAACTACTTTATTCCAACTTTTACTGTGTTTGGTATTTTGTTCAGATTGCTGAATGCCCATGGAGCAGGTAGGCCTTCTTTCGTTTTGATAAATTCTCTGGAAATTAAGAAAGCCCTGGCAACACATAGGTCAGGTCATTATGGGTCAAACTTTACGTTGACAGGGCCACTTTCACATTCTGGACCTTCCGTTACTTTTTTAGGGAGTGAGGTCATGTGAGGTATCGATCATGTTTGGGGTCAACCACTGACCTGGAACATATTTTTATTATTTCCATTAATAAAAAGTACAATTGTTGTATAAATACGTATGATGTGGAGTTGAAAATGTTTACATCCCAAAGCAAAATTCCAGAGAAGATGATATTCCCAAAAGGAAGTAACTGAGGATCTGACACATGACGTCAGTGTGACCTCGCATTGTACAACGGCGAAACTGTCGTGTCAGGCCATATAGGGTCACCTCGCGAAGAGGATTAGCACCGACACTCCCACTTTAAAACAAGGACAGAGAGAGAGAGAGAGAGAGAGAGAGAGAGAGAGAGAGAGAGAGAGAGAGAGAGAGAGAGAGAGAGAGAAGAAGAGAGAGAGAGAGAGAGAGAGAGAGAGAGAGAGAGAGAGAGAGAGAGAGAGAGAGAGAGAGAGAGAGAGAGAGAGAGAGAGAGATTAAGCGCTGTAGCGACGACACCCACTCATATCGTATCGGACCACATAATCGCATTTACATAAGGAATAAACACCAACTTTCCATTATTTTTTATCGCAACGTCAGCCAACTCTCAAAGCCCGGGGTAATGACCGATAAACTGATAACAACTCTGATACGAAAGTTATCGCGAAAAATGACAGAATATATCTATCCTGCGGCCGTTATCGGAGCATTTTTCTTCTGAAACAAGAGCCGGCACGTGATCGCGGCTTTCCTGCTCTCTCCGAACAAGGATATTCATGGGCGCTTAACGAAACATTGTTCACTTCTCTGCAGCAATACTGGCTTGATATCAGGCGATATTAGGCCAGAAGTGAAAATTGCAAGAGTGACGACAGCAGCAGAGGCGCATTCCAGGGAACGACAGCCGCTGCACAGCAGAAACAGCGGGGCGGGCGGAGTGAACAGCAGAGGGACATTTTATCCCCGTTTGAGTGGCTCAAGATCAAGGTCAGGCAGCGCCACCGCCCGAGGGCATCTGTGACCTTCACACCCACAAACATTCACTTATCATTCAACGCTCAGATAAAAAACCCTTTCTCTATCACTCGAGTCACGAGTCCGTATCAGTAAGCGAAGGTAATATTTCTACGAGGCTTTCCTCCTAAAGAAGCTTGGTAAAAAGGTGAAGAAGCTCACAAGACGTAAGTTTGAGGAGAATGATGCAAGGCGCTGCTTTACTTGAGTCCTCCCTTCGGCCGCGCAGGATATGGTTGTCCCGCGCTGCTGCCACCGCCTCGCCTTCATTCATAATTGTGCAAGAGGCCCTCAAGGAGAAGCTCGAGCAACACTCGGAGCGCTATAATTGTATGCAACAATGATGCAATACATCAAGTTGAAGCGCTGAGGCTTTTCCTTCAGATCTACTTGCGAATATCGGCCTTGAATGAAAGGATTAGAGGCTTGAGAATCTGAATTATTTTTCTGAAGAGAAATATTGCAAGTGCATAGGACATCTAGAATGATGAGTCACCAGAATTTGCCATTACGTCACATGTAAAAATATCGGATATTTGGAAACGGAAACGAGAAATATGAACATAAAACACGATAGAATTCACCAGTATTTTGCGTGCTAGATTATCTTTACACTCATTTATTGATATACGTGCATGAACTAGTTAGTGAGCGCGAGTTATCATAATCCATTGTTCACAAACCCACTTTTTGCCCCCAGGATCTCATCCCGACCCTGGAGTAAAGGGAGCAGACGATTACCGACTCTCGAGACACCTCTGGGGAACGCCATACTAGCCCCTACGCACGGGCGAGATAAGGCTCACTTCGCCCTTTCGAGCGGCATTAGGATCCAACTCATCATCAGCAAGAAACACTAAAGGAGAAAAGGACTGATGTGGACAATCTATGTGCAAAAAATACCAGCTGTAAAAAAGGGAAGCGAAGGCTCGGGCGCTTCTGCTAGACCTTGGGGCGGGGGAGAAGAAGGCTCATATTCCCTCGCGCCGCCGCGGCTGTGCCCGGGAACGAACTGGAGCATCCGCGCCAAGGACACCGCGACGGCGCTCCGGGTGTCCTTTCCGCCATGTTTGGGAGCCCAGGTGGGGCGCCTGAGGGGGGGGGGGTTGGTAGGCATCGGGGAAATGTGAAGCCTCACCCGGGGGCGCGAATGCACGGGCGGGGGGGGGGGGGGGATTGCTCAACCAAACGTCCGATTATCAAATTAAACAGATCCATTCAAATGCATATACATACGTATATATAGATACATAAATACACACACATACACACACACACACACACACACACACACACACACACACACACACACACACACACCACACACAATATATAATATATATATATATATATATATATATATATATATATATATATATATATACATATATATTATAAAAGGAACGTGTAGGAAGCATGCACGTATGTATATATGTATGTGTACGTACGTATTTGTGTACGTATGTATGTATTTGTGCATATGCATGTTTCTACGGTCCTTGGGAATAAAAGGTCCAGCTCACATGCGTAACAGAAACCGCACCCCTCTACCTTCCCTCTTGCTGTCCCCTGTCCCTAGCCCTCCCGTCGCCCCCCCCCTTTCCCTCCCCTTCCCCCTGCCCCTACCCCCCCTCCCCTTCCCCGCCGCACTACACAGCGAGCGAAATCTCCGTCGGCGTGACAATGGCGCTGCATCGGCTCCTCGTTCGCCTCATTCATTCCCGCGACAAAGGCCTGGCCGCCGTCAATAGGCAGATGCATTGGCGACTCACTCACGGGCAGGGATGGCTGCATTGCCCTTTGTGCGCGCGGGGCAAAGTTTGCAACACGGGCGCGCTGTGTACCTGCGCCCGCCCGGATTGTCCTCAATGCAGGTATGCCCTTACTGAGATCTCTGTATCCTTGGGGTGACGCTAAGGCGGCCGTCGAGAGGTAATATAATAGGAATTTCGACCGTATAAGTTCGCTTTGTAGGCGCTCTTTTTGGGGAATCCCTTCGGCCATTGATTCTAAGGCAGATCTGGCAGAGCCACCGCGTCTGTGGGAAGGAGGGCGGGAGGGAGGGGCGTGGCAGCTGAGAAGGGGAGGGAGGAGGGAGAGTAGAAGGTAGGGAGGGAGTGTAGAAGGGAGAGAGGGAGGGAGGGTAGAGGGAGGGAGGGTAGAAGGGAGGGAGGAGGGAGGGTAGGGAGGAAGGGAGGGTAGAAGGGAGGAGGGAGGGTAGAAGGATTGAGGGAGGGAGGGTAGAAGGGAGTGAGGGAGGG